GCCTGCTTTCCGGGTCCACTGGTGGAACCTCTTCTAACCGGTTCAGTAGATTTGACGAACCGGTTCTACTGAATAGGTGCGAACTGGTAGGAACCGACCTCTGGAGGCATCACATGACTACACCTTGCATTTTACGCCATTTTATTACCTTTTTTTTGCTGCAAGTGTTAAGTGAATCATCATGGTTGGTAAGTGAGGCATTAAGTGACTACAACTTGCAACCTTTCTGCTCCCCTCCCCATTTGCTTGTTGAAAATCAGATGGGAAGGTTATAAATGGTGGCCACAGGACGTTGTAACTGACATATATGTACAGTAGTCACCAAAGCACCCAAATCTCTTTTAACAGACTTTAAGTCCATTCCTAACCATAGTGACTGTCAAAATTACAGCATGTACATTGTAATGGCTTCTTCTCTACTTCCTCTTTTACCGCTTCAAATGTCGAGTTGCTTTTCTGGCGGCCTCAACCATTGTTAATTGATGTTGTAGTAGGTTCACCGACAAATGCGCGCTCGACAAATGCGCGCTCGACAAAACCGCGGTGAGAAAACAGCGAGGATGAAATCATGCCCACAGAAGCGCGCCGATAAATGCGTGCCGACGAAAGCACGCCATCAATAAACAACACAAAAACAACGTAATAACCCTAACCCTAACTCTTACCTTAACTCTAATCGCGCTTTCGTCGGTGCGCATTTATCGGCGCGCTTCTGTGGGCGTGATTTCGTCCTCGCTGTTTTCTTGCCACAGTTTTGTCGGCGCACTTTCGTCGGACACGCATTTGACGTGTCATGGTTGTAGTATCTCTTTGATGTTGTCTCTCCATCCTCCTCTGGGTTGGATTGTGCTCATTGACCTTCTCTTTTTGTATGTGCTTGTATGGTAGGAAATCCCACAAATACCTCTTCAGATAGGTAAACTACTTTATTTGCTATTTGTATGGAGTTTAATATTGGTTCTATACCAATTCTTTTCTTATGGTCTCATTTCTGATTTTATTTCCTCTGGTCACTCCAGCTGTTTTCCTCAAAGATCTCATTTCCATGGGGTGACTTAACTTTCATTTTTGTGTTATTGTAAGTGTCCATGTTTGGCACTGGTGATATAGGGTGGAGATGAGTTTGTTTTGTATGAGATGCTTCTTTGTGCCTTATGTTGTAGGAATGGAGCAAGCTGCCCTAATACTTGGTTTGCCTTACTGCATCATATTAATATCTTCATCCCTTTTACCATCCTTGATGAATGATGTTCCTAGATATTTGAACTTCATTATTTGTTTTATGCTTGTTCCTTCTATTACTCTATTTAGGGTATGCTTTTTTTCTTCCAATTGCCATTAGTTTTCTTTTTTTCTTTTCTGATTTTCATATTATTTGTCGGGCATTCTTGGTTCATGTCATAAGATGCTATTGCAGTTTCTTAGCTGTACTTATCTGATCATCTGCAAAGAGTTGTGGATATTATTTCCATTCTTGCATTTGGCTTCCTGGCTTATGCTGTCAGTGTAGATTATAAATAATAGCGATGATAGTACACATCCTTGTCTCACCCCGGATGTTACTGTGAAGTGTTCCGAAGTTCCATGGTTTGTTCTGACTATACTTCTGCAATCACTATATAAGCTTCTGCATCAGTGGTGGGTTTCAAAAAAAATTCGAACCTACTCTGTGGGTGTGGCCTCCTTTGTGGGATTGGCTTGCCAGCCATGTGACCTGGTGGGAGTGGCTTGCCGGCCATGTGTTCTCTCTCTCTCTCTCTCTCTCTCTCTCTCTCTCTCTCTCTCTCTCTCTCTCTCTCTCTCTCTCT